ATCATGTAAAATTATATGACAGTATTATAATTTATAAACATATCATTTTCATTATGTTATGCTGTTTTCATTTTTTTTTTGTTAGCATTATGTGTTTTTTATAATTCAAATTATAACATGTAAAAATACTAATTTAATATATATGAGATTTGTAATGAAATAAATAAATAATTTATAAAAAATTATAATATTTTTTATAAATTATAGTATTTAATGTAAATAAAACTTTTAAAATTCAAAATAATTTTCTATCAACTATACCAAATATAGAGTTACAACAGGAGGGAGCTTCGCATTCGGAATCCGATTAAAATTTTGGCATAACCTTTCAGCTTCTTTCAAAATATTTTTGGCAAAACCAAACGCGGCAAAACATCGTGCCTTTCTCAATTCTCACGTCATGTCCTTTGTTTCTGAGCCAAATTCAGGATCCTAGTGTCCTCATTTCCGCCAATCATATTTAAGAATTTTCCATCCAACGGCCTATTTCTAAACACACACCCTCTCGCGGATCGCTACCCAATCCAACGGCTACCAGTCCACTCATTCTCACTATATAAGCGGCCCAACACCTAATCTGCAACCCAAGCCGCAGAAAAGAAGTAGCCGGAAAACCAAAAGAGAGAAAAGGCAAGATGTCGGGAAGAGGAAAGGGAGGTAAGGGACTGGGAAAGGGAGGAGCGAAGCGTCATAGGAAGGTGCTCCGCGATAATATCCAGGGCATCACGAAGCCGGCGATCAGGCGTCTAGCTAGGCGTGGTGGAGTTAAGCGTATCAGCGGCCTCATCTACGAGGAGACTCGCGGCGTCCTCAAGATCTTCCTGGAGAATGTCATCCGCGATGCCGTCACTTATACTGAGCATGCTCGTCGTAAGACAGTCACGGCCATGGATGTGGTGTATGCCTTGAAGAGGCAGGGACGAACTCTGTACGGGTTCGGAGGTTAGGTCTAGGGTTAGGGATTAATGTGATTTGGGGATGAATTGGGTAAATTGGAAAGATGGTAGGCAGGGCTGTGTTTAGGGCTTGTTTGGGGTTTCATAATGTTGATATGAAATAGTGGTGTGGAGAATTCATAGTCTCTGTATGTTGAAAAATCCAGATCTAATATCCTGCTAATGAATGCTTATTCTATGGCATTGTTTGGTTTCAATGGTCAATTTTGGCTGTTATTGAGCCAAATTATTCTGATTATGCTTGTAAAAATGCATTCAATTTCTCAGTTTCTTCTTTCAAAATGGATTATGCAATAGGCCTTATTCACAAATGTCAATAAAATTCTGTGATTCAAATTCCACTTCTTGTTGATTTTACCTGGAAACCGATACTTTGTTTTTTATTATTATTATTGTTAGAGAAAAGGGAAAAGTTAGGATTTTTAAAATATCTAATAATAGTTATACGGTAAAATTAAGAAAAAAAATATTATCAGTTTTATTTTTTAAAAATTATGAGAAAAAATATTTTAAAATTACGTTA